ATGCTGCGCAAATACGATTTTTCTCAGCCTACATACTTCAGAACTCCTCATCGCCCTTGAAAGGCCCAACCCGTAAAATCCACCGTTCCCGCACTCTAGATGGCTTGCACATATTTTAGTGAGGGTGGAGGTCCACAAAACCGTTTCCAACCGCTTTCTGGCGCCTCTATTGTGCTGTTGTGGATTCGGGGCTCCGGGATCTACTTCATGTATTGCATCAATGAATCAGAAACGGTGAGATATGTTAATGTTCATGCCAGCGTCTCCAAAATTCGCGGAATTGAAGAGCACTAAATACCTGAATATTAATCTTGCTTAAGACTAATGTGTACGATGTCTATTCGCACTAAAACTGGATGAATTTGTGCCTTAGCATGGGTAAATATGTACGACCATCGCAGAGTAGTGGCAAAGTACAATACCCATTGGACCACTTTTTCCATGGCTTTTATTTGTGCATGAGGTTGGAAGAGAGGTCAGAAAAATGCTAACGCGCCATTATGTTGGCCTTTGTTTGGCAATGTATTTGCCATTATTCGACTTTTCGATTTCACCTAAATGATACTAAGCAAACGCCCGAGCAAAAGCTGGACATCTTGCGAAAAAAACGACCTGATATTCTCGTCGATTCTTTTCCAAATTTCTGAAACTAACTTGAAAACCAAAAAAGATCATGAACAGTAGTAGGAAATCGTGGTCTACTGAATATAAATTACCTGCGTACGCCGATTGTTAAGCTTTGTAGTATGGCATAAAACGCATTACGTACTTACTTCTCCTAGGGTAAAGGAAACAAATTGCGTTAAAGGCCAGAGCCGTCCAGTAACTGAATTTTGTAGCGACATTCTGTAGATTGTATCCAAACATCTTACGGTACAATTTGAAAGAAGTTCTAAGACAGCGTATGATAGAACAATATAATGCCAGGGCAAAATATAGCAGATTAGAGGCTCTATCGGCGACATAGAAAATAATACGGTTTCCCTATTGTTCAACTCCTATTCTTAAAGGACATTCCGAAATTGTTTTATTTTGCGGTAGGCACTGAATACCCTAACTAATTTTTGAATAGGCGCCCTTGGAGACACGTAAATACAAGCATTGCGCCGAGCCCTTTCCACATTTGCAAACAAATTTCATCTAAAAGTTATTAAAATTGACAACCGAAATATTTTATTGATCCGGAATCTGGGAAATGAGGGAACACTAAGCCATCGCAGTCACAGCCGGCCGCTGTAAGTTAGTGGATATTACCAATATCCTCACTTGTGACTTGAATCTCCTTCTTGATGTGGGCGATTGTTCCGCTGGGATTTCAGAGCAAGCCTGTTACGTGTAGGGGATTGTTAACCGTAGTCGGCCAAATGTCGGCCATTTGATGTAGCTTGTCTGAAGGACTAGAAAAAAACCAGTTAACCAGCGTCAGAGAACGCTTGTGTTCTTGAGAAAAAGGCCAAGAAAGCCCGTTATGGTCGATCATGACAGTTTCAAAGGTATGTGTGCACAAAGAATCCTTTGAAATATAACACAGAAGATTTTCCACGGCTTGTGCTAATTTAGGGTCAAGTGCCCCTTACAGGTGGACATGAAATTCAGCTTGTGGCAAAAGCTAATATGAAGACAAAATATTGCGTAAGAAAATAGTCCAAATTCCTCTTTTAGAGGTTTTCGGGCATGTTATCAATCAGCGGTAATCCGTCCTGCATAGGACTTACAATTGGACACTGGCAGTGACAGTAATACTAAGGGTCATGCTTTCCTCAAAAATTTCTGCATGAAATTGGACCAAATTCTTCGGCGCCAACTTTATTGGGCTAGGCCTGAAAGCTGGTATGCGTATCTGAGCAGAATTCTGACGGTATCAGCTAAGTAGGTGAGCATTATTTATGACAGAAAATTAGGCAGTAATGTACTTTGCGCACAATATGTAGGTTAATCTTACCCCAGGCGCAGGCACTATCTACCAGCAGGTAGATGTTTGCCAAATTCTTGTTGTCTCATGACATAACTACGAGGTTTTGGGTCGGTCGGATTGTGCTCCAACGTACCACGCATCGTGTCCAGTTGAAGAACTTGTAGCAAGGACCGTACTTTTAGTTCGCTTATTAACGTTTCAATGAAATACTAATTTTTAGTATTAAATAATTACTTGACATACCATAACCAACGTGGAGAATGGTAAGGAGCCATTGATAGACCGAACCTTTTGAGTTGCGTCATTGAACCACTGAAAATCGGGAGAATGTCTGTCTAGGTTCTTAGCTAGTACGTACACTGAGAGTGTACTTGAGCTCGACACTATGTGCATACCAAGGTGTTATACTTGTCCCGTCATGCCAAAAACACTGTCAGCCTTAGAAGGCAAGTACAGTGTCACATACTCTTTCGAAACTGCCCACCTGTTAATTTTCGCATTAGAGAAGCTCTGTATCCATGCAAGGAATTTCTCCTTGTGTATTGTGGGAATAAAATATAACTATGGTGATAGGGATTAAAAATCAACTCAAAATCCTTTGACCCAAGGGAGGCAAAAATTTCCGTGTGTTCCAATTCGCTCTTGACTGAAAATAGACCACAACTCGGGGAAAACTCCAATAAGAAACGAAGTTCCAACCCAAGTGATAAATTACACGGAGTCACGTAAATTGCATGTATGACAGTGGGAATTGTTTGGTGAAATACGCAACGTGGTGCGTACCAAAACGTATGCGCACAACGAATGTTTGACGGAATATCCTCAGGTCTTGCTGACGATAATTATGAAGTGAGATAAAATGAAACCGCTAAATGTCTTTTCTCGGATGAGATTGCCCAATACCACATTGTTTTCTCTCAAAAGCTTCTTTTTGCATCCTGTGTGTTCCGCTAGACATGAACGCAGGCCCTTTTTGGCGGAATGTATTTCAGGTGATTTCCTTGGAATGCACGCTACCCTTAGCCTACACATGACGGGACTAAACACGGTTTTTAGAATGGACCAAGAGACCCACGTGACTATAGGAAATTCTGACCTTGATTTAGGATAAAGAGCGTACTCTGTCGCTTACGTATGACGGCGACTACTGCGTGTTAAATTGAAGAAATCGTAAAAACACTTTTCATGGAAGCACGTGAGGACGACCTGACCAGCATCAAAGGAAATTTCGATCCATTTAGAAGCACTATGGAAATATGCACCCCGTTTAATTTATTTGGTAAGATATAACCCTATAAAACAGTCCCTGTGGCGTCAGTGGGTGCCTTTGATGCGCAGACAAATAAAATATCCGGAACAACTGACTACCATTTAATGCGCTTTCTTCTACTTCCCTTTAATGCTTGTAAAAGCTTAACCACATTTTTGAAAATATGCGTAGAGATATACATTCTTCATTTCCTTCCTAAGAACTATCATAGTCTTAGTTTGTTTACCCTGGAGGAACTTTTACATTTAATGCGTAGGCAGCGCGCTAAGAATGCAACAGGCTAGTGGCAAGCTGGAGGGCGGACAGAATGGGATCGAGTGAGATCCTAACCACAACAGAGGGTCACACGCTTAAATGATATACTTTTTCATTTAAAAACATTTTCCTAATCCCAATGCTAATTTTGGCCAAAATTGTTGTCTTCACTTACGTTTGGGGGTTTTAAAATACACGTGCTGTACTTTTCATCTAGCTAAAATAATCTCAGCAAATATTCCCATGTTACAATTGAAAAGTCAAATTGGCTAACACGCGTTTTCGGTAATTCTTCATCAGGCCAATACCATTACATGAAGAAGTGAAAATGTACAAAGTTAACAGTTCATATTGACCCAACTGTGAAAAACTCGGCGCCTCGGTGGCGCCGAGTTTTTCACAGTTGGGTCAATATGAATTAGTCAAAATCTGCCAAAATATCAATGAATTACGCGAGCCTGGTAGTCATCTGGTGGATTCTATGTGAATTACTTAGGAAATCCTGCTTGGGCAGTCAACTTACTGTATCAGATTTGGTGGCTTCCAGACGTTGCAGTAGGTTGGGCGGGTAACTTGACCCAAATGTGATTAAAGTCGCGTCGTCCGGCGGGCCTCGTAGCTCAGGTGGTTAGAGCGTTGGCTGCGCTAAAGCCTTCCCCTTACTGCGTGGGTTCGAATCCCACCGAGGCGCCGAGTTTTTCCCAGTTGGGTCAATATGAATTAGTCAAAATCTGCCAAAATATCAATAAAAGTTAACAGTGTTTATAGGTGACGCAAGGGCAATTAAGTTGTTAACACTCATCTTTCCCACGCCGCCCGCATGACGAGGTCGGCGGGTTTTGGTCCTTAGAGCTGGGGAGGCAGGTAAGCGAGTCTTTGAGTGATGTTCTTGGATTTAGTACACGGAGTACACATCACTGTAATCAGGGATTTGAGGCGGCATGTCGTCATCATGTGAGGTTGGCGTTGACCACGGCAGAGAGAGCGCTTGTGTCAGGGTTTTCTGGCAGCATAGCACCGGATTCGCCAGCCGTATAGCCACTGCCTCGGCCGTTGCTAGTATCCGTTGGCGTAGGCCTTTAGAGAAGCTTGTTGGTGTCCGATAGACAACCTGAAATGCTTCCTTGGCATCGACTCGGTGATCCGTATCGATTAAATGTGCGAGAATAGAGCTCGAAACCGATCGGGTCTCACCTCTGTCTAGCCAGGCGGGCATATGTTCACGCACCCTCTTTACCAGGCGTCTCGTTGTACGGCCGATGTATCCCGCTCCACAGGAGCAAGTGAAGGAGTAGATGCACGTTGATGTGGCCTCCAACGGTACTCTGTCTTTACCTCCCAAACGTAGGAGGGGAGAGTTTGTGAAACATACGCGTAAATTCGCCGCGGGGAATGCTCTCGTAACAGCTGTAGTTAAGCGTCGTCTGACTAGTTCGCTCGCTGCGTCCCCTGCAAAAGGCAGTCTTATGAATACATATTTCTTTTCTGCAGTCGCAACAGTGGGCTTTGCAATGCGTTCTCCAATATTTCGGAGGATAAATCTATCTGGATATCCATTCTCGCGGAGTGTGTTCTGCAGCTGTTGGAGCTCTGCTTCAATAGTTTCAGGTGAGCAGATGCGCCTCACCCTAGCTGCCAATCCCTGGACTAGATTTCGTTTGATGTTGAGGGGAACAAAACTGTGGAAATTAATGTATTGTCCCGTCCAGGTTTCTTTCGGAACACCCTGCGCTGCGTTTAAAATAATTTCTTTCCACTCATTCAGTATGGACAACCTATCGTTGATAAAAGCTGGTCACAAATATGCATTATCTTCCATACTCCTAAGGCAAAAGTAAGGAAGATTAAAATAAGACGCCAGCTGCATAACCACTTAAATTACCCGTTAGTACACCTAATTTCAAACTGTCAAAATTGACAGGTAATCTTCTTCAGAGTAAAGGTTTTCAAAAGGGAGCGATTCTCTAAAGGAGCTTACGAAAGGCAGCTCTGTTGGCATCCTCTTTCGATCGTACGATGTAGTTTACATACCCATCAAAAGTGAGTAAACCACTTCGCACAAATTAAGTGGTCTTTTTGTATGACTGTGGCTTTTCAAACGACCGTTAAAATAATCATCCAAAAACCAACATCCCTGCAGTCCGTTGCCTGTGAATCAAGGCTGAAACCACACCTGAGGAATTTCATCTAACCACAGCCATAGTTGGCGAATGCTTCAGGACTTTGGTTACCCAATGGGCCTTGACGTTTGTTGTGGCGCTCGTAGACTGTTTTAAGAGACGTTCTATGCGTCTGATGGCCATTCGACCTATTTAACAATGCAAATTATTGGAAGTTGTCATAGGCATTATTCGCTTTTGGGGAAACATGAGCCACGAATGAGGACCTAACCCCTGGTCCGCTTATGTAAAAACAAGACCTGTTACATATGCAAAAGGATTTATAACGAAAAGATGACTTTTGAGCTGACAAGATAGAACGTTTATAATAATGCGTCTACCGAAAAGCCTTTGCAAAAGATTTACATGGATGAAAGCCGGTTGCATTCACAATTTTTAATGGTCAACTGGGACACTTAGAAAGTTTCCCGTGAGTTTGTCTACCGGTTTCTGAAAATGCAGTCTTAAGTTTCATTATAAAAAATTTCCAATGTTCACAACACGCCAAAAGTGGTCAGTCTAGCACTAAAAAAATAGTTCTATGATTTTCATCATACTGACAGCACAGTTACTAGTCAGAAACCCAGACGCGTGCTTTGCGGATATCCCGCTGCTTTACGGGAGAATCGGCTCACCAGTGGACCCCACAGCGTGTCCGTGCGTTTTCGGTTAGATACTTCAGTTTTGACATTTCAGCATTTTTTCACTGAAACTGATAGATTGCGGCTCAAATATTCATATCAACTTTCGGACTGAGCCTATAAAACTTCATTTACTGTGATCTACTCCAAGTTTGAGCATTACCTTCTGAGTAGATAAAGGAGTTTTGGCTAGTATCTGTGCTGCCAGCAAGATAAAATTCATGAACTTACATATATATATATATACTACTGGCTACCTGCTGACAAGTTAACGTATTAACTTCTGAGGAGACTAGAAAGTTAAAATCAGAAACCATCTCCACAAGATCATACAGAACCTCCCATAGCACGCAAACCCGTTAAGTGTCCGAAGTAAATTACAGATAGCTACCTGTGAACACCCTTTCAAGTTGAGTGGAAGTGAAATGTGTGCGACAAGTTCTAGGTGGCAACCCAGGACACGACAGTTACTGCATTCAAGTTTATTTACAGTCGGGTTGATTATCACAAGCAAGCGCTCTTTCTGAGACAGAATGGATGGTGAGACCGACCAGATCTGGTTTAGCACTAGATTTTATCAGCATAAACAAGCGTATGCGCCTCGAAGCTATCATGACGAATTATCAGTTGTGGCTTGGGGTACTGCCAACTGACCGGCTGACTCGGTCCTGGTCGAGACTGAGGACCAGTCTGCACCGGCACTCACCGACTTATACTCGAGTAAGAATCCGAAACGTCAGGCCAATAAATTTCTTGTTCCTGTGATCGCATCTTCATCTTCTGAACTACTACCTGGAACACGCCTGTTCGCTTCTATCATGACTAATTTTTAGTCCGTTTGAACTCACAAGACCGCTAGACTCATGCTATTTTAGGAAACGTGTGCGTTTTCGAAAAACCCGCGTTAAAATCTCCGCTGGTAAGGAACTCGCCAATTATTTGAGTCGACGAAGCGCTTGATTCAATACTACTTGAAATAAGATCTAAATCACAGGACAGATCCTGCACAGGTTCGAGACAAAATATACGAACGGGGCAGTACTTTGTACTTTCTTGACATGGTTTTGTGAAAAAGTGGAGAACTAATCAACCACAGGGAATGTGCAGAAGCTCAGTGAAGGGGATACATATTCCTGGAAGTATTTGACCATTAGATCGAATGAGAGTATCATGTCCAGAAAGGACAGCACACCGATTCATACGAAAAAGTATATTCAGGACTACTTCGAAAAATGCCACAAATGCTGTTTTTCGAGAAAACTGCCACCTCCATCCTTTTCGGATTTTTTTAAAAAGTATTCCTCTTTAAAAGTTGCTCCGAATTATTTCTCCAGGGACAGTTGCAATCAAGCGACAAATGTTCAGATAACAGATAAGACTTTTCTGTTCTAACATGCACAGTGGGGAGATTTGAATTCATATTTTACGAAAAAAATAGAAGTAATGGACTTCCTGCGACACAGCAACGAGTGAATTCAGTAGTCCGTGAAAATGCCAACAGGCAGGCCCCTCAGAGTCACGTGTAACCAAAACTGTCTTCAGAAAAGGACACCCCTTGTGCAACCAGGCATCTCAGCTTTGCTCACATAGAAAATGCTTTGCTCTGCGACCCGAAACGACTGGAGTTACGAATGCTTCGAAGGACAAGACAAAAATCTCCCTTCATAAACAGAAGGAACTACTGCAAACTAATGCCAGCCTACCAGTAGATGGGATCCAGAGATGCAAAATTTCAAAGTGAATACACGTAAAAATGAGTTTTTAAGAAAAATTAAATTCATGGTCGTTTCAAAACCTAAGAAAGTTCAGAAGAAGAAGAAAAAGAAAACGCGATCGCTGTAACAAGAAGTTTATTGGCCAGACGTTTCGTATTCTTACTCGGACCCATCATCAGGGACAGTCGCTGTTCACCTTGCATGTACTGCTTGTCACCACAAAACCTCTCGCTGTAGCGTGGTTTTGGCCGTTCGGGTCAGAAGATTTAGGAGTCCCTGCAGGAGTTCGTCTTCTCAGAGGCGCATGTATGATAATGGAAACCCGCTCCACTCGCGCTTGTATGAGATACTGGATGCTTCTGTCTCGGCAGTGAACGCCAGTGCACTTAACGCCAGCTAGCTAATTGAGCATTGTCAACTTCTCACCTCTTTTTCGAAGCTTTTTCAAGAACTAATTTAATGGGAATGTGACATTTCGACCATCACAAACGACGACGTCCACCGTGTGTCCCGAAGCACAGCGAGTCCGGGAACGGTGGCCCGCATAGTGAATTAGTTTAAAGTGATAGCAGACTTGCGTAGCATATACTGCACATTTTGCTCCCTCATCTATCTGTACCCGGTGTCAGGGCAGAGTCGGGAAGTCCGGAGGAGGGTTGGGCCGAAAAACGAAAAGGCCTATCCTATCGTAATTACATAAAACCATACAGTTTAACTCAACGCCTAATTTTAGATATTTTTGCTTGTCGGATATACGTAAATACTTGACCAATTGGTAGGCACTCGATACTCCAAAGTAATTCGTACATGCAGAAGAAATCACGCCTGTCTGGTTCCAATATTTCGAGGAAACTAAAACTTGAACATTTATCTGGGATAATAATTCTAGCGTCTTAATTGTCGTACTAGCGAAACTTGTGCAGTCGAAAAACGTTTGTCGTGAGGTCAGACTAAACTCACCCACACGAATGTGCTCCGGCTGCTGTGTTTCTCACTTATCGCTGCCATGTTCGCCAGGGCTGTACGCACTAACTCTACATCTGACTCTTAAATAGAGCCTATGGAAACTGACAGTCAGGAGATAATTGTCACAAAACATATAGTGTAGGGCAAAAATGACTCGAAATGAGAACTGTTTCGTCATACTCTTCTCGTGGGCTGAAATGTCGTATAATTGGTATTTTTGGCAGGCGTGGCTGTGATAACTCGACGGAGAAACGTATGTCAGGAATTGAGGCGTGGGCGGTTCGAATCGGGGCCTTGGAGCAAGCGTATTTCAACGGAATGATCGTCCTACGTACAGCATTTTGTCTTAAAATATTTTGGTTTTTAGAAGACACAGACTGCATCAAATTTCTGGCGCACTGCTTGCTTAATATGGCTGATGATGATGGGTTACTTGCTATCAACTTTAAAAGAATACTTTGTGTTTTTATCTTCTTACCTAAACAACCAAAGAACTGAATGGGTATTATTATGTTTTAAAGTCAGAGCGAGTTTGGCTTGTGCGCCTCCGTTAGTTAGGCGCCAAAGACTGACCCCCATAACGAACATGTCCGGGGCACTCAGTAATAAAATGAATTCACATAAATTGGTGGCGACTAATGCCACTGACAAGGACACGAGCGACGGCATGACCCACTTCTGGCATATATGTCATTGTCAGCCACAATCATAACCCCACGCTGTTAGAGTGTGACTGTCTCAATCAAATGCCTGCATCTGTTACACCGCTTACTTAATAGTTTCAGCGTTTGTAGGTCATTCATCACGTCAGCAGTAGGCGCTCACACCCAATGTCTTTCATGAATAAGTAGTTACTTATTTTTCTACTGAAACTCTGATTTCCACACAGATATCCGCACACAGAAGCGATTTGTAAACTCGGGCTTGACAGTGGTCTTTGCCGCCAGTGTCATCAGAGAAAATCTCTGACAGGGGGTCATTAACAAATGTCTTGTCAGCAAAATCCCATCTTTACTTCTGCAAATGTTTTGACTAGAAAAGGGTAAGTTGTATTGCTATCGAGTAAATTCACTGACAATTGTCGAAGTTGAAGAGGCTCTCGCTGAAAACGGAGATCCGTTCATCAAAGCTTCCGAACCGACCCTCGGATCCATCTTCGGATTTATATAAATGTCATCATATCAAACCATGTGTGTTTTCCCTAGTCGATCAGTTGAGTCTTGTTTCATTGAGGACGACTGTAGCAATATTTGAGGAAACCATCAATACTGTGGCTTCCTGTTTGACTATGTAGGTCCTGCTGAACGGACGTAGGTGATACGTAAAGAACCTGCTTTACTCTCTCGGGTGAGGTTTAAGAACAGACTGAAGGGCCTACCATGGATTCTCCAAACTGCGGATTAATCGTGGAACTGGTACTGCAAGATGAATTCCTATTCTGACTAGATAACGTCTCCTTCTTCTCAACAGCATTCGGGACTTACCTTTACGCCTATATTGATAGATTCACATCTTTTATAAGAACGGTCTGCAGCATATGGGGACAGTTGTATGATGGTCCGCGTGCTAAAAAATGTGCCTCTTGGAAGCCAAGATTAACGAGGTGTGATACCCGTGCAATCATTGAGAAGAAAGGCTACCCATCTGGTTCGTAACTACCGCGAGTGAAACCATGCCTTTACTTTTGCTGCCACCTAAATAGTCCGAAGAACTGCTTCAAGACCGCCCTGACAGGGTATTTCCGAATGAAAATCAGCTTGAGCATCGTCAAATGGGTGCGTCGAGCACGATCTGCATGCCAGGCCGTACGTCGTCAAACTGAGACTCGTAATTCAGCGGTACGATTGTGGTTGCCACAAAAGTGGGTGGAAATATCCACAATGACAGAGGATCAAGCTGATCGGCCAGTTCAACGTAAACGACCCGTTTAGTCGGTCTTTTCATGTCCCCAAAGCTGAGTGAGAGAACCGATTCAAAAATTCCTGTGATTGGTCTATTTTTACGGCTCTTAACTCTTTAACCAGAACATATGAGCTTCCTGGTATACATGTTTTCTTAATGCTACTGACTTTTTATAAATCTCCACAGGGATGGCCTATAAAAGTTTCGGTCGTCTGAATTAGTTTCAAAAACTCAACCGTTAACCCATGCGCGAACATTTGGCTTTTTAAAAATTCTCCTCAACGTTTCAAGACACCTCTTTATAAGTCGACCAGAATCTTCGCAGTTTTCTCCCAGTGCATGTACGGTCTTCTGTGCTTGGTTTTCGGAATCACAAAACTGGTGTTGAAAATTTAAGCTTACCCTTGCAAAATGACCGCATAATTTATGGGTATTGCCTTTTCAAACTACTGAAGGTCCACATCAACTTTTGCTTTGGTTGGGTTGTGCCAATTTTTTTAAATCAGTGTGGCAGTTCGTGTGCTTTTGTTTACTGGTCCTGCTTAACGGCAAACCATTCTAAGAAATTGAAAGTGCTGCCTCAAATGGTGATTTGAAATGCTTTGTTCACATTTGCCTAGTCTAAAATATACGGAAATTTTCATTGGTCTCATGGGGTTAGGCGGGGATGCGATTTAAAGTCAGCATTATCCTAAAAATTAACTAAGATAATCATGGTTGGAGGGCGTAAGATGTCCCCTCTGCACTGTTTGCCTATACCCACAATGCCCATGTAGATTTCATCGGTGGTTTCAGCCCTTCGTGTAGGTCTGTGAAATGCAGGTGGGAGGATAATTCGTCGGAGCGAGAGAAGCCAAGACGTTGGCGCAATGCGAGAGAGCCGGTCGATAAAAGGCGAAGGCAGAACACTCGTTGACGTAACCAGGCTGTGAGACGATTGGCGCGGAGAAAAAACAACCGGCTTTGCTAGTGCAAAAAAACGAGGAGGACGCTTGCAAAAGAATCTAGTGAATGGAGGTCGCTGACGGTCGACTGCAATAAAATGGGAATCTGATTGCACTTACTAATATGCATCCATAAGTTAAATATGCTATGTCATGGAATACTCACCATGAAGTGCGTTTTCAATTCAAAAAGACTACTTACGTAGGGTTGTCATGTCAATTATCGTGCCGAATTATGCCAAGCTACTTCGGTCACCTCAGGATGGCGGCTTTTTAACGAGCTTGTTTTCGGTCGTCCGCGTAAACTACATTTCGTAAAAATGACTAATTATTAGTATGCATTTTTACCGTTGATTTCCGGCGATGTTAAAAATTCAAACATATTTTACAGAACACATGCTTTGTTCCACATATTGGGTAGTAAATTAAATTTTCTTCAAACTCCATATCTAAAAAGAGCATCTTTCGGTTTTAAAAGACGTTCTCAGTTCTCAATTAATTTTGAACCGACCTGCGGTTACACTTGAACACAGGATTTTCAAACTGCAAAGAGTACATTGTATGTGTGAAGAAAGTCATATATTTCTATGCGTTATTCAGAAAAGGTCACATAAGGCTCATAACATTTTGAAATGAATGTGGACTATGTGTTCCACTTTAAAAGCAGAAATAGTAAATGTCCCGATTAGATGTTCTATAATTGGATCTTTAGCGATCTTAATAAATCTCATAGTTAGAGACTTCTAAAAACCGAAAGGTACAATTCCTTAGAATATAAAGTTTGATGATTTCATTAATTTGACATAACTATATAAAGAAATAGGAAAGTCAGTTGAAATGCGTAAAAGGTGAAAATCGAATTTGTCCAGTTCCTACAGGTCAAAGGCCAAAGTGGGGACTTTTGGTAATTTGTGACTTTTTCCTTAATTTCCCGAAAATTCATTTAGGGCTGAGGTGGAGATTTCGGTTTAAGCAGAATGGTATTACCGACAAAGACAAGGGAAGTCAAGTTGGCTAACACGTGTTTTCAGTAATTCTTCGTCAGGCCAATACAATTACATGAAGGAGTGAAAGTGTACAAAATTAACAGTGTTTATAGGTGTCTAAAGGTCAATTATGTCATTAACACTCATCTTTCCCACGCCTGCCGCATGACAAGCTCGGCGGGTTTTGGTCCTTAAGGCTGGGGGAGGGGGGGAGGGGTAAGCGAGTCTTTGAGTGATGCTCTTGGATTGAGTACACGGAGTACCCATCACTGTAATCAGGGATTTGAGGCGGCATGTCGTCATCATGTGAGGTTGGCGTCGATCACGGCAGAGAGAGCGCTTGTGTCAGGGTTTTCTGACAGCATAGCACCGGATTCGTTAGCCGTATTGCCACGGCCTCGGCCGTTGCTAGTATCCGTTGACGTAGGCCTTTAGAGAAGCTTATTGGTGTCCGATAGACAACCTGAAATGCTTCCTTGGCATCGACTCGGTGATCCGTATCGATTAAATGTGCGAGAATAGAACTCGAAACCGATCGGGTCTCACCTCTGCCTAGCCAGGCGGGCATATGTTCACGCACCCTCTTTACCAGGCGTCTCGTTGTACGGCCGATGTATCCTGCTCCACAGGAGCAAGTGAATGAGTAGTAGATAAGCAAGGGTCCCTTGACAAGGGCTCACATCGATAGCCTTAGGGAACTCCGCAAAAACAAAGACATTGTGCTAGGCAGACCAGATAAGGGTTCAGGAGTAGTACTGATGGATAGAACGGATTATGTGGCGAAACTAGAGGAAATACTGTCGGATCTTTCCAAGTTTTCGAAATCCGAGAAAGATAAGGGTCACACAGAGGCTGTCGAGGGTCAGTTGACGAGTATTCTCAAAGAGCTCTGCAAAGAAGGCCATTTGTCTAGTAAAGAGTATGAACGACTGAGGCCGGTGGGCACAACAATACCAAGAATGTACGGCCTTCCTAAAATCCACAAACAAGGGCTGCCCCTACGTCCAATCTTGGATATGAGGAATTCCCCCTATCACACCGTTGCAAAGTGGTTAGTGGATAGACTGAAGCCACTGCAAGGTCATCTGTATCCTCGAAGTTTGAAAGACTCCTTTGAGTTCGTGGAAGCTATCAAAAATATGAACGTTGGCGGACGGAGGATGTTATCACTGGATGTATCATCGCTGTTTACCAACGTACCTGTGTCAGAAACGATAAATTATCTTTGTGATGTTATTCGTGACACGAACTACCCCACAGGCATGCCAGTAAAAACGCTGAAAGAACTACTGACGCGCTGCACACAAAATGTCCAGTTTCTGTGCAATGGTCAACTATACAGACAGATAGATGGCGTGGCAATGGGATCACCTCTTGGACCGTTCCTTGCAAATGTTTTTATAAGCAAAGTTGAGAAGACAAGATTACAAGATGCCATTAATGACCTCGTCTTCTACGGTCGGTACGTGGACGATATCTTCTGTCTGGCGGATGGTACCACCGATATCGAGGACCTTGTCCAAAAGTTCCACAGTGCGCACCCCTCGCTAAAGTTCACTGCTGAGTCTGAGGCAGATAACGAAATTGCGTTTCTCGATGTCCTTCTACACAGGCAGGAGGATGGGTCTATCCAGCGCAGGGTGTTCCGAAAGAAAACCTGGACGGGACAGTACATTAATTTCCACAGTTTTGTTCCCCTCAACATCAAACGAAATCTAGTCCAGGGATTGGCAGCTAGAGTGAGGCGCATCTGCTCACCTGAAGCTATTGAAGCAGAGCTCCAACATCTGCAGAACACACTTCGCGAGAACGGATATCCAGATAGATTTATCCTCCGAAATATTGGGGAACGCATTGCAAAGCCCACTGTTGCGACTGCAGAAAAGAAAGATGTATTCATAAGACTGCCTTTTGCAGGGGACGCAGCGAGCGAACTAGTCAGACGGCGCTTAACTACAGCTGTCACGAGAGCATTCCCCGCGGCGAATTTACGCGTATGTTTCACGAACTCTCCCCTCCTACGTTTGGGAGGTAAAGACAGACTGCCGTTGGAGGCCACATCAATGTGCATCTACTCATTCACTTGCCCCTGTGGAGCAGGATACATCGGCCGTACAACGAGACGCCTGGTAAAGAGGGTGCGTGAACATATGCCCGCCTGGCTAGGCAGAGGTGAGACCCGATCGGTTTCGAGTTCTATTCTCGCACATTTAATCGATACGGATCACCGAGTCGATGCCAAGGAAGCATTTCAGGTTGTCTATCGGACACCAATAAGCTTCTCTAAAGGCCTACGTCAACGGATACTAGCAACGGCCGAGGCCGTGGCAATACGGCTAACGAATCCGGTGCTATGCTGTCAGAAAACCCTGACACAAGCGCTCTCTCTGCCGTGATCGACGCCAACCTCACATGATGACGACATGCCGCCTCAAATCCCTGATTACAGTGATGGGTACTCCGTGTACTCAATCCAAGAGCATCACTCAAAGACTCGCTTACCCCTCCCCCCCTCCCCCAGCCTTAAGGACCAAAACCCGCCGAGCTTGTCATGCGGCAGGCGTGGGAAAGATGAGTGTTAATGACATAATTGACCTTTAGACACCTATAAACACTGTTAATTTTGTACACTTTCACTCCTTCATGTAATTGTATTGGCCTGACGAAGAATTACTGAAAACACGTGTTAGCCAACTTGTTTTTTCAAGTGTAACATGGGAATATTTGCGGAACAAAGACAAGGGAGACTGGAATGGCCGTTTCTGGCTTATTAGCCGTCGTCAGGCAGCCATACCCAAGCCCGAATTGTGGAACACCCGAGCCTCGATCTCGCGACCTGTTGGTTTAGAAGTCCGGTTTAACTCGTCACTGATGTCCCACGACAGATTTTTTCTAGAACCTGATCTAACTGTCAAAAGAACTTGCGATTACAAAGAATCGAGGTATTTCACTTCAGTGTTTATCAAGTCTAAAGGAATAAAAACATTTCAGTGAGAGAATAGTGCTGTGTAATAAGACTGTTCAGTTTGCGTGATAAGATCTTACCAGCAGTCAGCTGATAGCGGTATACCCAGGGCAACCTGACACTAGATAAAACTACGTCAGAAAACGTACAAAATCGAATTCCGCCGCCAGGAGACGTCAGCCCTGGAAGGCTGAGCACGGGAGTATGGACTTAGATATTACAAAATGGTCTTGCCCTTTATTCCAGAGGGGTTGGAGGTATGAGGGCGGATGTTAATGTTAGGTCCAGAAGGGTTAGGGTTGCATTTAGGACACGAAAATGGGTACCCACTGGCATTTAGGACTAGGCCATCCGTCATACAGGAGGGGGAGGGAGTTTATATTACCGTGTCTGATCCCAGACGCTTTTGCTGTACGAAGAAGCATTCCGCAAGAATGCTGGCCAGATAGCGAATAAGCCAAATTAGTCTCCAAATAGTTCTTTTTGAGGATGTCATGGCAAATATCTAGGCAAAGAGAATTCCTTCCGAAAACAGCATCGTTTAGCCCAACCCCGGTGTTTTCAAAGTCTTTACTGATTGGTAAAGTCGCATGGAGCCACTTCTCTCTCTACGCAGACTGTTTGCGCACAGGCGCAGTGAGGTTGATACAAACAAAGCATGATTATCATTGCTCATCAGAACACTCGAACTTACCCGTCCGGCATAGATTGGAACATTCGCTTGAAAAATCGAAGCCAACTTTAACGTTAGACTTTATGCACAAAGACGGAACATGCTCGTGAGCCTTTGAAAACGTGCTGAATGCTATGTCAAAAATGATGGTAGACATATCGAAAAGCAAAGTTTTCATTAGAGGGTGTGCTTTCCTCCACATATTTTTTCGGGCTATTTGTTTTTTAAAACTTGCACGAAACCTTACATATATCCAGCAGAGTAATTTTTTTGAAATTTGGCTGAAATACCTACAAATACCCTTCAATAGTCTTGCTTTAGATTTCGCCCTTTCGCAAAACATTACCCTGCGTAATAAAGGAATTTTACAATCTCCTCTGGGCATCCGCATTTTCAATGTCAAAGTTCGTTAACCCATGTAAATTGTAATAGAATGTATTCATATTTAAAGAGTAGGCTTGCTTTGGGGCTGAGACCTCAGCGAAAAACGTAGTTTGCAAAGCGGATTGAAATTAACAGTAAATATTTGAGTATATGAAGGCCCTTCTACCTTACTGCCTTAAATTAAGTTCAGGCTGTGTTCTGGTTACAGCGACAGTCACCTGGTACTAAACTTTTGCGGTATATCTTCTTCGTAGGTGAGAAATATGACGTACTTTCCCATTTATGTCTGCGATTTTTGACTAGAAAATTTGAAAATAAAAGCTGTCAAAGGGTTTACACCATTTGCCCATCCCTGAAAATTCCACATGGAAGCATAATTGTGATGACGTAGTGCTAAAAACTGACAGGAACTGACGAACTTATAAAAAAACATCTTAATACGAAAAGTAGACGGTATTCTAGAAAAACAAAGATAGGTATGCATGTGGACTGGCTGCCATTCCGGACGACCTCCATGCCCGCCGTTACCTTTCGACCTGCTCCGCTGTTGCAAGATGCACCCGACATCTTTGTAGACAAAGGAGAGAACAGTAATATTGCTAGAAAAGCTCCATCCTCGAGCGCTTAATCAGAAGTAAACATCAGGTTGACACAGACAGAACCGTTTGATTACCCAAGTCTCGAAAATTCGCAAAAATTTGCTGTGGCAACGCAACTTAACGACGGCCGAAGCAGGGCCCATAAGGATCGCGAAGCTTGCGCGATTCGTGAAGACTCGCCGATGGTTGTACTTGATGCGATGGAGCCTCAATCGCCATCATTCAAATAGTTACCTGGAGATATCGTAGTGCTTAGCATAATTACTACTCGACGTTTAAACACTAGCACTGGAAACAGCGCTGACCTGCGAGTTTTCCACGTGACCAACCACTCTGCTAAGTCAACATCTGGAGTTTGAATAGGAGGACATTACTGCGTTTGCTGATGAGTTGCGGGTTGAAGAATCCTAACATAAAACAGCTCGTGACTCTCATGGCTATCATGTGTTTGGGAAATTTCGATCTTATTGGCCTTAAGGGTGTGGCCGAGCCCCATAGAGTGAGCTGCGCCTCGAAAGTTAACGTGAATCTCCCTCAGTGCCGCTGCGTGTTCGACCATCCTTGCCCAGAAAAATCGCTCTGTTTCTCCGAGCTAGTTGTCCTGCCCGCTATCGGAGCAGATCAGGTTACCAACTTCAGAAGTCTCCTGCCGCGACGGTGGGTCTATAGTGACATAAAAAGACGTCTTCTTTTAATGCGTCAAGAAACTTTTACAATTTTCAATAGCAAGTTGTCGTCACGCTGCATTCTTGTGGCTACTGTGCTCTTTCTAATTATACTCGCGATAGACTGGTTTATTACTTACAGGTCATTCGGCTTGACGATCGCCCCGGTCTGCATGCAACCCAAATTCTAAGTGATAGGAGAATGCGGTTGATGGCACGGATACGCTCTTAGCGTACGAAAGCGCTCGCCAGAAACTGGCGTCGGTACGATCGAGTCCCGTC